AAATTTTAAGATTTAAAGTTTAAGATTTTTCCTTTAAAATAAAATAATTTGTTACTATCAAACAACATAGTTAGCATAGATGCGTTTAAAGATAATTTAAAAAACAAATTTAATAAAAAAATGAAGAAGCAAGAATCGTAACACTAATATATTTTTTGAGAAAGCAACAAAATTTAATGATTCTATAATTATATTCATCTTTCCATTCGTTTTTAAGAAATGAAGATGTTTTCTGTTTTATTATTTTTCTAGCAGTCATAGAATTCAATTCATTTTAACAAAGGCATCGCATATACAAAAAGAAAATAAAAGTTGTCTTTAAAAATAATTTGACTGAGTTAATAAAAAAGAAATACTCAAAAAAATTGAAATCAAAAAATGAAATATGGTTGGTTGGATATCCGCTGGCAAATATCAATATCAGTTCTCTGCCTATTCCTAGAGATGTCTACAGATTTTTTAGGTTTGTACTATGTAAAGATTTTTATAACTTAAATTTTTTACTTCTAAAAATAATTTTATTTTTCAATTTGAAAATAAACTTCAATTTACCTCCTGTTTTGTTTCTTAAGGTATCAATTAAAAATGATGAACAATTCGCTTCAAGTGTTTTCTAAATGTTTAAAAGAACTAGGTACTCAAATCAAAATTAAAATTAGCTGCAAAATTAACAATGAAAACCGTTAAAGTTTTTGGATAAAGATATTCCTTGAAAGCAGGAAAAATATATTGTTGAAAGTATTATTAAGTTATTTGATAAATAGAGAAGTCTAAACGTAAATGTTTTTCAAAAAAAGATTTACTTATTCAAGGTTTCAAAATAGTAATGGATAATTTTTTTGATATTAATTCTCCGAATTGGAAAGACTATGTTGGAAAAACCAGATCAAATTTAAATGCAAAAGAAGATATTCTCTAGTTTTCACTACTAAAGAAATTGATTTTAGTGATGGTGACTCAAGTAAAGAATCATTTTTTGCTGGGTCTAGAAGTTCTGTCTACTCAGATTCTCAGAGCTTTTCTAAAATTGGTTATAAAGTAAACAATTTTGAATCGTCTGCAGGTGTAATAGAAAATGTTGTATCAGGTTACATCAGTTTAATTTTGGCAAGAAACTTTGTTTGTCATCCAATGGTATCAGCAACAGCTGATAGATCTAAACTGTCAAACGCACAGCTTTTGATGAATTTTTCCGCAATCCTAAATCTTATGATGCAAATATCTGGTAAAAAGTTTGACTATTTAACTGTTTTAGTTAGTGGTTTTCCAATCTGCGAGGTAGGTAAAATATTATCTATTAAACCTATTCAGTCAGGCACAGGACATTCTATATGTAAAAGAATCATAAAAGATTTAGAAAAATAGGATCATAAAAATAATATTGTTGCCCAAGTTTTTGATACAACGGCTTGTAATACTGGAGCAAGAAACGGAGCTGCAACTCTTCTTGAAGAATTCAAGTCTATAAAAACGCTTCTCTAGCTTGCATGTTGTCATCGTGTGTTAGAATTACTCCTGGGGTCGTTTTGGAAAGCTTTACTTTAAAAAGAGAAATTTTCTGATAAAAATATAGAGTTTTTAAATTTTCAAAAAGAATAACTTGACTCTATAAAAATTCGTCTCAAACTTTCAAATAGGTTCCTTGATCTTGAAAAATCATTCTTAAAACAAAAAGCAAATGAAACTTATTAAGCAATTTCTTAGAGAAAGTATTGCACTCTAAGCATCACCCAAGAGACGATTACAAAGAAGCTGCAGAAGTAACAATTTTTCTATAAGGGGGAGAAAAGCCCCAGAAATGGAAAACATCTGGTGCTCACCATCATGCAAGATGGATGGCGTATTTGCTGTATGCAGCAAAGATTGTAATATAAAAAAAAGATTTACCCGAATCTGATTTAAAAAACCTTAAAATTCCTTTGACTTTTAGCTCAGCCATTTACATTAAAGCTTGATTTGAAGCGTCAAAGGCTTGTGATGCATTAATGATGTATATATATATATATATATATATATATATATATATATATATATATATATATATATATATATATATATATATATATATATATATATATATATATATATATATATATGTATATATTCATATATATATATATATATATATATATATATATATATATATATATATATATATATATATATATATATATATATATATATATATATATATATATATATATATATATATATATACATATACATATATATATATATATATATATATATATATATATATATATATATCATTCATATATATATATATATATATATATATATAAATATATATATATATATATATATATATATATATATATATATATATATATATATATATATAAATATATATATATATATATATATATACATATATACATATATATATATATATATATATATATATATATATATATATATATATATATATATATATATATATATATATATATACATATATATATATATGTATATATATATATATTTATATATATATATATATATATATATATACATATATATATATATATATATATATATATATATATATATATATATATATATATATATATATGTATATATATATATGTATATATGTATATGTAAATATATATATGTATATATATATATATATATATATATATATATATATATATATATATATATATATATATATATATATATATATATATATATATATATATACATCTAGCCCCGGAACAACTGGAGTCATCATGCAAATAATAAAAAAATTATGTTAAAGAATGTATTCTTATTATAAATCCTAATCGCCATAGCTGGTTCTAACCCTAATGGATTGTGTAACAACTAAGACAGCTACAAAATAATTGAAAAGTGCTTTTTTAAAAAAATAAATCTTTGTGTTTAAAATGCTTGTACTAATAAAAAATTTTCAATGAAAATAATAAAAGACATCAAAAACTAAAAATAAGACAGTTGATTTAACCAATGTCAAGTTATCAAAGCTTTTACAGAAAAAAGCAAAATTGAGTTTGTTCTATACAAAAATGAAGAATTATTTGTGCAATTAGTTACATTTGAAAATGAATACTGGTTCAATAAAATTTTTAATTGTTAGAATACATTTTATTTTCAGTTTATGATTAAAAAAATATTTGAACGGATGTAAAAGTATGTAAAAATTATTAAAAGAAATTGATAATTTTTTTATTATTTAATATATTTTTTATTGGGTATGCATAAAATAATAATATTTATGTTTTATTTAGTTGCTACAGCATTTAGGAAGACAACATCTAAAATCCTGACTTTGTTTTTGCTTGTTAATTTTTTAGTTTAACAACATTGTTTGGTGCGCTTGTTGTTATTTTTTTCTTCGAAATCTCATAAACTGCAATATTTACTCCAAAATGTTTTCAAAAATTGAACTAAAAAACTTAAAAGGTGTCAAATAAAATGCGCCAATGTCTTTTTGGGACAAAATCTCATTTCTTTCAATATTTGACATTTTGGGCGACTTATTTTTGTTGTTTACTTCAGCATTGATAAAAATACCAAAATGCATTTTATTATGGTCAATTAGACCATTAAATTAAATAGACGCGGCTTTTCCGTAAATCGTTGAAGTTAAAGTTTTTACGTATTACTTTTAAGCAAAAAAAATGAAAAAAACTAGAAATAAGACTTTTTTTTAATTTTTGAAGAAAGCATCTTTTATTAAAAATATATAGAATATATTTTTATGTGGTCTATTTTATTAAAGACTAGATATAGTAATGACTATGTTATTTCTTTTAAAACTATTTATTTATTACTACTGCAATAAATACAAAATCTTATCCGTGAAATTATATATCTGTAACAGTATTATATCTTTTAAGCAATTAATCCACCATAATTAAAATTAATCAGAAAAAGTAAAACCAAATTTGACGTATAGGAAGTTTGTTTTTTTTACCACAAACTAACGTTGTTGCGCAAACTTTTTTTTGCTTAACTTGTAGATTAGTTTTATAGTTATACCCGCGACTATAGTTTTTAATGGTATAATATCTTTTTATTTTTGCTATTTTTATATCGTTACGTAGAAACGTTTGTAAGTGTTAACGTCTTTAGCATATGTTGAGTTTGCAGTCATTACATGGAAAAATCGTGTAAAATATATCTATAAAATGAGAAAACTTCAAAATTTTATTTTAACAAAAAGAAATATTTTCTGCTATTTTTTTATTATTATTATTTTGCAATAAATATATGAGCAAGGATGAAAAAATTTTGAAAGTTACAACGCTAAGGCCATATGGTTTAAAATTTTCAAAACAACACTTATGAAAACGCACTACACTACTGAACTATCAAAAATAAGCCTTTAGAAAAAAGCAAACTTAATTATAAATTTCTTATTAGCTCTACTTATGCAAAAAAGGTGCAAATAATATTTTTTTCGCTCTTATAACAGTATTTTAAAATGAATTATTTTACTAAAATAAATTGACGTAAATATGGATTAGGTTTAGAAATAATCGGTGTGCAATAGTTGATTATAAAAATGCTAGGTTTGGTAAACACCCGCATTTTATCGGTCCGTAAATTTAGAATATATATATAAGAAAAAAGTATAAAAAAAGTCGAAAAGGAATAGATCTAAAAAGACTGGTATTTTTACGGGTACAGTCAGCTAGTTAGTATTGGTTTTGGATCAAGTCTTTTTCTTATTATTATTATTATTATTTTACTGCTGACATTATTGTTATTATTAAAGTTTTTTTTGCTTTTATTTATTGCAACATAATATTACTATTAGTTTTATTATTTTTCTAATTATTAATAATGTTTTTGTTATTGTTGTTTTTATTACTACTATTTTTATTACATTTTCGCCGTTTTTGCTTTTATTATATGTTTTTACCATTACCTATATAGCTTGTGTTACAAATTGCTCACATTAGAAGGTTTATACATACATGTATTTAAAAATGGTTGATTATTTTTACTTATAGATACAATTGACGTGTCAAGAATTGCTACACCTTCATTATCGTCTTTATACTTAAACTATGATATATGGACTGCTGATAAAGTAATTGATGGTAATCCATCAACTTTTGCGGCGACTGCTACCGATGTTTCTCCGCAATGGATAAAATTGGATTTAAAGTTTGTGTATCAAATAACGCAAATTAATGTTTTAAACAGAGAAGATAGTTGCTGTACAGAAAGACTACAAGGGGCAAAACTTATTGTGAGCATCACCGATAAACCAGATAATAACTATGAAATTTCAACGTTAACAGGTGATTTAAAGCAAACTTTTGAAGGTTTATTTGTTGGCAGATTTGTTGTTGTAACAAGAAATATCGACCAATTATTACACATTACCGAGCTTAACGTTTTTGTGTGACAATTTAGCAACATTTTAATATGTTTTTAAAATATATATGTTTGACTATTTAGGAGTGAATTTAAATGTATATATATATACCTATATCAATATCTATATACATATCTATATCTATATATATTTACATCTATATATGTATATATATATATATATATATATATATATATATATATATATATATATATATATATATATATATATATATATATATATATATATATATAGTCAACACTCATTGTTCTGTAAATAGTTTTTTATTTAATAATTAATATGGTTTCAAAAAAAATAACTCCACAGAGCATGCAATACTTCAGTTTACACGTAATATTAACGAGTCGTTAAATGAATCTGAATATACGTTAGGAATTTTTAATGATTTATCAAAAGCTTTTGATACTATTGACCATCAAATTCTTATTAAAAAGCTTAAATTACATGGAATCACATGAGTCGTTTTAAAATGTGTAAAGAGTTATTTAAACAATCGTGCTCAATATGTACACATTGATGATAAATCACCAAAAACGTTACTATATATTACTTATTGCGCGCCACAAGGTTCTATACTCGGCCCTTATATTTTTCTTATATATCTCAATGATCTTCATAAAGCATCCAACCCGAGGACAGTAATGTTTGCCGACGACACAAATTTATTTTTATCGCATAGCAACATTACTATATTATTTGAAATTATGAACGTTGAAAAGCTTTCTGACTGGTTCAAAGTAAATAAACTTTCAGTAAATATTGATAAAACTAACTGGACTCTATTTCACCCACTTTACAAAAAAAAACTAATACTATATGAAAGCCATCTATATTCATTGATAATATTCAAGTTGAAAGAGTAAAAACTACTCGGTTTTTAGGAATATATATTGAAAATCTTTCATGAATACAATGCATCGAATATTTAAGCAACAAAATTTCAAAAAGTATTGAAATATTATACAAATCAAAAACCTATTTAAACATGCGCACTTTAATGCAACTATATTATTCACTTATTCACTGCCATGTTAACTATGCAAATAATGCGTGGGGCAGTACTAACAAAAGTAAACTAGAGCCTCTTCATCGTCATCAGAAACATATAGCAAGTTTAGTTCATTCTTGTGATCGACGATCTCATTCAAAGCCTCTCTTAAGAAAAATGATTGTTTAAAACATATATCATATACATACACGTACATACTATTCTTTGTTTTATGTATAAGTGTAAAACGAAATTATCCCTGTCTCCTTTTCATAGTTTATTTATATTAAAACAAAAAAACAAATACGATCTACAAAATAATGATTTTTTGATGCAACCATTTTCAAAAACAAATCATTTTAAATTTTGCGTATCATTTTGTTGACCGTATCTTTGGAAAAATTGTCTTAAATAACTTTGATTTTACTATTGAATGGAAATAAATATCTTTTAAAAAAATGTTTAAAGAAGAAGTTTTTGAAACTGACAATATACAAATGTACTTTTATCTATTATTTATATCGTTTTATATGATTTGTAATGAATTATTTTTCTTGATATGCTTTGTAATTAAATTATTTACGATCTGCAAACCTATATTGCTATTATACTTTCGGTCAAATTATCTTTAAGAAATTTTTTGTAAACTTTTTATATTTTTGTAGTTTTTTTAATTTAAATCTCGTTATTCTTTTATTATTGCATAACACTTTTTATTTGCTATGTAAAATATTTAACATGTAAAAATGTAACAACGCCTTTTTACAGCGGTACTCGACGACAAGACCTTATGGTTTTCTACGAGTTTCCACGTACTTTTTATATATACATTAAATATCTTCCATGTAATTGTTTATATTTTTTTATTTTAGCTTGTAAATTTTATGAAATATTACCGTGATGTTTTAAATGTAATAGATAATAAAAAGAAAAATTGTATATTTATATATATATATATATATATATATATATATATATATATATATATATATATATATATATATATATATATATATATATATATATATATATATATATATATATATATCTTCTTATCACAGCGCATCGCGGAATATATATATATATATATATATATATATATATATATATATATATATATATATATATCAGATATATATATATATATATATATATATATATATATATCAGATATATATATATATATATATATATATATATATATATATATATATATATATATATATATATATATCAGATATATATATATATATATATATATATATATATATATATATATATATATATATATATATATATATATATATATATATATATATATATATATATATATATATATATATATATATATATATATATATATATATATATATATATATATATATGCTCTACCGCGGTGCTCCGTGATATGACCGTAAGGACTTCTGGTAGCACCTAAATAAAATTTAAAAAAAAAAAATTTATACAAGAAACTTTTTTTTTCAACTACAGCTAAGTCATATATGGGTACTGGTCCTCAATTAAAAAAAAACAGCCTAATCATTACAGGCTGCATTGTAAAAGCTTTTCAGTAACCCATAGACCTATCTAATTGCTGCAAGAAGTAGAGCGATCTAATATTTCAATAGAGAGCACAGCTCTGCCAAAAATTGTTTTAGTTAAGTATGAACACACAATTGAAACATGACTCTCACAGTTGTCAAGAAATCTTTATATTGGATCACCTGGTAAACATTTTACGTTTTGAATAAAATGTTTTAGGCTTTCTAAAAGCATCGCAGCATTTATCCTAGCAGACGCGTTTGCAACACTAACGCCTATTGGTGGCCCATCCACCATTTATTATACTTCATTTGAAATGAACCCATAAAAAAAATTGACGGACTAAATTTTTTATTCAAATAACTGCACAATAAAACGTTTACAATATATTTATTTCTGCTAAAGTAATCCTTCAAACTTGCATATCCTTAACTGGTTTTTAAACAGTGATACCTCTCTTAACAATATTATAAATGTTATCTAGATGAATTTGTATTGCTGACAAACATCTCTTCGATAGGTGAATAATAAATGCTTGACGATTACAGGCAGTTACTTGTGTCAAACTAATAGCCTCTCGATTTCGAAAATATAATTCATTCTAATGTAAAAACAAAACAAAACAGGAAGACACTCTATTCTAGTAACTTGAGAGCTTTTCTATGATTTAGGAATGTTTTTAGAAAGAGTCATCGCAAATTTATATACATTTTTTTCTGTTGTTTTAAGAGGCGTGAGCTTCCTAGTTAAATTATCTTCCACGGTGCTATGTAAAAAGATTGTTTATTCATAAATGTTACAAAGTAGTATTTTTGCAACCGTTATCCATTATGTGAGAGTTTTTTAATTTTATGTTATATTAGTTTTTAATTTTAACGAACTATTTACTCTGTAATATTTAACTAATAGCATTAATTTATTTTAACGAAGTATAGGCACTATTTCAAAATAGTTAACATAAAATTTATCATGTTTAGTTAAGAATTCACCGGGAAACACCTGCTGGGAAACACTGCTTTAAATAAAAGTAATAGTATCAAGTTATCGGAAACTCGATATTGTGTAAGATCTACATGTTTGCGAGAAAGGATTTAGACTGCTTATTATTTAAAAAATGACGTTATTGCAAATAAAAGATTTCTAAAAGTTTATAGTGATTACGTAAAATAATTAAGTACTGAAACAAAGTATATAATGAGAGTAAAAAACAATTTAATAAAAAAAAATAATTTCAAACTTTTTGTTTGCACAACTCTATATAAATAAAACAGTAAAGTACTAACCAAGTCAGTAAGTAATACAGTAAAAAAAAATGGTTTGTCTAAAATATGAGTTCATTTTGGAATTAAACAACTTTGCTTCTAATTTGTTTTTTAAATAACACAACAAAAGATTTCTATTTGTATATTTTTAATCTGAAAATCCAATATGTATTTTATTCTATTAATCTACATGTGTGCTACCAAGTTAGCTATATAAAAGTCTCATTATATGGATCCGGAGTTCTGTCAATTAAAGGCTTCTTATCATCGCATTTTTTAACTAATGAAACTTTAGTTTGTTTGCAGTACCAAAATAAATATAATGGATGAATTAAGCAGATAGTGACCAATATTAAAAGAATTGTGTTTATCTAAAAAACAATAAATATGTTCTTAAAAATTTAATATACAAAATTTTAACTTCAAGTGTCACTGCGAAACTAAAATTAAAAAAAAATACCCAAAACGAATTTCCATTAAATGCATATTTTGTCAGGTTGAATAGGGCATACTGGAAAAATCCAAGAGCGGCAGAAACAAAAATATTTAAGCCAAACAACGTTCCGTATTGTGATGCTGGAAATCTATTTTTGAAAAAAAATTATTTAAAAATATAATTATATAGTTTTAGATTATCATTGAAAGTAATTTTTTTTTATATTTGTTTGAGTTGAGTTACTTTAAAGTTAAAACAAGTGTTTATATATATATATATATATATATATATATATATATATATATATATATATATATATATATATATATATATATATATATATATATATATATATATATATATATATATATATATATATATATATATATATATATATATATATATATATATATATATATATATATATATATGTTGGTGAAACACAGTGTAAAATGAAAAATTTTTTTGTTAAGTGATTTTCTACTAATTAATAATATATATATATATATATATATATATATTATATATATATATATATATATATATATATATATATATATATATATATATATATATATATATATATATATATATATATATATATATATATATATATATATATATATATATATATATATATATATATATATATATATATATATATATATATATATATATATATATATATATATATATATATATATATATATATATATATGTTGGTGAAACACAGTGTAAAATGAAAAATTTTTTTGTTAAGTGATTTTCTACTAATTAATAATATATATATATATATATATATATATATATATATATATATATATATATATATATATATATATATATATATATATATATATATTATATATATATATATATATATATATATATTATATATATGTTTGTGTGTGTGTGTGTGTGTGTGTGTATGTGTGTGTGTGTGTGTGTGTGTGTGGCTTTTTATGTTTTATAAGTTGTTGCTCTTCAAAAAGGTTCACATAAATTTAGACAAACCCATAAACAGCATTGTTATGTATTCACAATTTATTTTTAATAAATTTTAAAATAATTTTATTTAGTTATATCTAATGGGCTAAGATGCTCCGAAACTGGAGTAAGTTGACTAAGGTGCATGAAACAATGGAAAATTTAATTTTTACTTTTTTTTTATGATTTAATGTTGTTGTTTTTATTAATAAAAAAACAATTCTTATTTGAAATATGAAGTGTAAAGTTAAATTACTACCAACCTTACCACCTAGGTTTAAATTACTACCAACCTTACCACCTAGGTTTCCACCTCGGTAAAGCGTATAATCTTTAAAAAAAAAATATTTACTCTGCTTACTTTTTCCTTTAGCCAATTAGCCCCGAACTACCCTCAAAATAACAAGACAACAAACAACAGATATGCAATTTTAGAAAAACAGATCTAAATATAAAGTTAAAGAATTCTCATAGTATGCACAGCAGAACGATTCAACTAATATTATAACTCATAATACAACCAATGAATGTTATAACTTTAACATTTGTACCTCAATTATGTAAAAAGTTATAAAATTATTTTTTAATGAGTTTTTAATAGCCTATCAAAATAAACTATCAAATAAAAACTGTCTTTAAAAAGAAAACGTTATTGGTACTTCGCCATATGTCATAATCTTCGCCATATGTCATAATCTAGAGATTATTAGTTGCAGTTACGCCGTATTGTGACTTCAAGGATCACTACTTGATATAAAAAAATTAAATTTAATTATTTATTTTAATTATTTAAAAATTTTATTTGTGCCGAAATTGTATGATTACACTTTGTAACAGTGGGAAACCACTTAACAAGGTTCAGAAATGTTTTAATTTTCTAGATTAACAAATGTAATGTGAATGACTCTCTCGAAGTAGCACCAAAATGTAGTCTCCCGTCTTGTTTTCGTTATACTGTCCTTGATAACAACGTTTTCAAGGACAGTATAACGAAAGTCCAAGATATTTTGATGAAAGCACTTGCCTTGCTTTTCGGAGTAAGTGTCTATTGTGTCCATGACTTTGTCGAGATGCAAATCAAGGATACGGACTTCTAATACTGTTCAGCATCCCATTTTGGTGTAAATCTCTATGAGAATCTGCACTAACTCCATATAGTTTTTAGCTTTATGATTACCTAGGAAGACCTGAATAACTGCAACAAAACTGCTACAAGCTGCTCTATCCGTCTTGTTCAACAAGTTTGCAAAATTCTCACATTCTATGATATTCTTGATCTGTGGTTTGTCTAGTATACTAGCCCTGACCATAGCCTTACACAGCTTCGGAAAAAAAAATTTAGATGTATTAAAATGCTGCTGGCTCTTTGTGAAGAGTAGTGAAAAATTGTTTAATGAACTATAACTTGATGTGCAGCGGTGAGATTAACACTTTATGATGTTCTTTCAGCGGCTTCCACATCACATTGCTGTTCCTAACAGAGAACTTGTCCGTTGCAGCCAGTCCTTTGTGCGTTAATGCATCCTACTGTCACGGCTATCTCGAGACTGAGTAAACAGGGAAATTTTGTTAAATCACTTTGAAGAACCATAATGATATCTTTTTAAAGTCACTGATGACCTTCTATCCGTAGTCGTCGTACTTTCAATGCACTCAGCAACATTTTGACACTGGTGTTGTCCTCTATGAAATGTACAAAGTGGGCCATTGGGAGAGATATGTAGATATTTCCATTGTGAAGCAACACGGCTTTGAGGCTCTGGGATGAGCTGTCTATAGATAGGCATCATTCAATAAAGTTACATGGAAAACTTATATTATATGGGGACACCCCATCACACTGACCAAAGAAGTTGGAGAATCTTTGATGTCACTTCCTCTGATCCGTGACTTCTACGCTATCATCAACCTATTTCCACTGTTTGAGCCTGGATATCAGAAACTTAGCATTTAATTTCTTAAGACCGAGGCTCCTAATTAAATTATTCACATCATTCTAATTAGGGAAGTAAAGTATTTTATACCTAGCTTTTACTGCGCAATCATATTCCATATCTCCATCTTTTGTTTTACTATCTGACTTGCTGCTGTTTCCTGAAGATGTCCAATGCCGTCTAGGAGGTGTCTGAACCATTAAATAAGGAACGATTAAATTAAGGAACGATTAAATTAAGGAACGATTTTAAGATGGAACGTATTTGCCTACAGAACATGACTTCTGGCAAACTTTGAAAATTTTAACTCCATAAAATGAACTAGATCTAAAGTTTTGAAATTTTATGAAAATAAATTAAAGTAAGAAGCAACCTTTGAGTGTTTTATTGCAACATTCACATATGAAATGTGGTGCTAAGGTTTGTCTTGGTCCTCGACCGGCACGCTATAGTATACCTTGTCGACCTTTTACATTTAATAACTTACTTCCAAAGGAATACTTTTTTGCTCCTGTTTTTATAAATTGTTTGCACACGCAGAAGAATGAATCAACTAAACCCTAAAAACCACTTTATGCCATATGAAATAAAAAAAATTTCTTCAACTACGTATCGTTTTTTTTTCAGCGTGCAATGACAAGAACTGGAATTTTGGTTCAATTCATCTGTGTTTTATACTTGTACAGCTACTTTTGAAACGCTAAAAAACGTTATAGAAAGTTCTGAAAGTTTTTTTAAAGTTCTGAAAGTTTCTTAAACTTTCTAGAGTGTTTTAGAGAAATAGGGAAACTTCTGGGCAACTGTTACAGCTCAGGAATATTATAGGAGGAAGCTCAGAATTGAAAGCTAATTAAGAATTTTTTGGAAACACGCCATTTTTTCAAATTTCATTGTCCCGGTCACAGAAGCAAAATTTTTCTGGAATAACAGTGGTTTCCTTTCTATTCTAGATCTAACGGTTTAAGAAAATACACTTTTAACCCAAGAACAGAACAAAACTAAAAGTTTGTTACATAGTGTTATTTTTATTATCTAAAGTTTACAACTTTATTATTAAACACTATCATTATAACAATACTCAATACTAATATCAATGTTTTGCCACGGCTCTACTCATTTATAACAAACAACATAAGATTTATAGTGCAGGTCACTATGTTTCAAAAAAACTCTTCGTGTGCACATACGTGTTACAAGCAAACTTTTTGTTGATATGAGATCCTTGCATGAAAAGGATTTGAAAAGTGACAGGTGTCACTTAATATATATGGTTTGTGTCACGTGGTATGACGTAATAAGCCCAATAGCAAAAAAAAATTTTAATCGTTATTTTAATAATATTTTATACCATTAGAAAAAGCATTAAACAACCTTTCAAAATCATATAAAAAACATATGTTGAAAATTCTAACTTCATAAGATATAGGACTTTATGTAAGTTACCAAACCGGGGTTGTTTACAAAAATTATGACTAGATAAAAGATAAATTTTAAAAAAATTAAATAATTGAGCTTGTATATATTTTAATATTTAAGTTGTATAAACATATAAATGACATCATATGTAAATCAAAATAGTATTTACAATCACAATGTTTAAAAAAAGAAAAAAGGAATCCCCGAGAAATTTTTATTTGACAGTATTAAGTCAATTAACCTTTTAAATGAAAAGCTTCAATTATTCTAAGATTTCATTATTAAACTCAAAAACCCTGTAAATTTTGGAAATATATGTTAAAACTAAAGTGCTTACATGCTGGTATTCAGTAAAACGAATAAAGTAAATTGCGTCTTATAAATCTCTACATTAATAGTCATAGTTTTCCTTTTGGTCGTCTACATTATTATTTTTAAATCGTTTACACTTGCACATATCAGTACAGACAAGTTTATTTTTCAAACATTTGCACCTTATGTTGCCACAGTTTCCTTTACAACGACAGACGATAGACGAAACACGCTCGATAAGTGCTATTGGTGCTGGCAGGTTATCAGTCAATATGGGATCAAAATATCCATTGTTTATTTCCCAACTATACTCCCCAGGCGATGGTAGATACTGTACAGGCATGTTAGAGCGTTTAAGCACTAAAATTGCAAAGTGACTACGAATTATATGGTACTTAAGGACATTCGTTGTTGGTGGATGTTGTGCAGCGTCATACTAAAATTTAGAGAAAAGGAACCAACGAAGTTGAAATTTAGAATTCCGTCAGCAGTGTCGTTC